GGACGAGGCGAGTCGTGGGGCTTTTCGTAGGGCAGCACGCGCGCGCCGCCGGTGTGATCGCGCGCGCGCGCGTGGGCATGTGAGCCTCGGCGTTCGTGCACCCGCAGGCGCCACAAAAGAACATGCCCGCACCCTTGGCACCCTAGGCCCTATTGAGAAACTTTTTCGCACCACCAGGCAATATAACCTCTATGGCGCCCCGCTCAGCTGAGGCTTGGGTGTAGTGTCTGCTTTAAGATTAACAAGATACACTTTAAGGCCATACAGGGATCTGAGCAATCGGATTCCCAGTTTGGAGTCTGGAAACTTGTCCTGTATGCTTTCCAGCAAATCAGACCTAATGTCTACACCTTTAGGAAGGGAGATTGGCCAACCTCCCATCAGTAGTAGTGAGCTGTTGGGTGACTTTGCCGAGGTCATCGGCGGATACCATCGATAGTTGATCTTTATTTTCCAACATGGTGCCCAGGATGAGAGACTTTAAGTCGTCTTTATGTTCATCTATCAGACCAGGGCCTGAGAAAAAATCTTTCTGCTTCTTGAGTTTTTCCTCTGTTTTGTCTGCCCTAACACTTAAGCTATCTAATGATGACGTGACAGTGTCTAGCTTCAGTTCCATTCTGTCAATTTTGTCGCTAGAGTCCTTAATCGCTTTGAGAATGCCTGCCAGAGTCGCAGCACTCTCAGCTGCTTTTTCTGCTTTTTCTCTGGCATCTGCTTCTGCCTGAGCTGCTGCCCTGGCTACCTCTGCCTGGGCTGCTGCCGCGGCTGCCGCTCTAGCGTCGGCGTCCAATTGCTCCAAGCTCGGATCCATTCTCCCCCTGCAATTGAGCGCGGGGAAAGAGCGCAAACGAGAAGCGAACGAAAAGAATGCGTGAGGTCTACGCAGAGAGACCGAGCGCTGGGTCCCAAACCTAACGAGATAGTAAACTCCGACACGGGGAGGCAGCCTAGTGGGGCTGCCCTGCCGTGTGAGGGTGAACTATCGAGGTTACGCAGTGGCGGTACACCGGCGTCTCTGTTATCCTCACGTCACCTCAGCTGCCGTAGTGTACGGGGGCTGGGGCTACTGGACGAACGGGCAGAGGATCTGCCTCACTAGGTCCAGGAAGACTCTCCGTCTATTACAGTGCGGGAAGCAGCTATAACAGGGTTAGAAAGTATTAAGGAGGGGAAGGAAATTGGGTGGCTCTGTACCAGCGAGCCACTAGGGAGATACAAAACTCTCTATCTCTCTAGCTAATTCGAATACACGATTGCTAATTAACTTAGCCTACTGAGTTTATTTAGTTGGCCGATGGGGGGCACTCGAATGTAGAAAACCACCAAAAAGCCACAGGGATAAATCGGGAAACTAGCGGACGGCCACCCCCTCACCCCCCTCCGCGGGCGTTGCGACTTCTAGCTTAGCACCAGTGGCAACTCGAATGTAGAAAACCACCAAAAAGCCACAGGGTCGAATCGGAGAAAAAGCTTATGACCATCCTGTGGTTCCTCGAGCGAGGCGTATCGCTGGCCAAAAAGACCCACAGCTTGCACTTGCCTCGCATCCTCTACCAATATTACCAGTGCATCATCATTGCCCTTGCAGCACTCAAGTTTTTCTCTGAGCCTTAGAATATCGTAGCAGC